AATTTCCGCATTCGTCACCATGGGAAATGGGGACACATGTATACTTCCTTGTCATCTACCCTTGTAGAATATGCATGCACTTCATAGAATATTACCCTACGAATAATGAAACACCTGGAAGATCAGTATACTTGACACAATAATACGGTTCACATTATAGCACCCCTGGCATAGCTCTACTGTTTAGACAATATGATTCGAGGCCACCTGTGGGATCTGCAGAATCGCCCAAGTCATATCATCCAGCCATTAAACAAACATGACAAGCCTTCAAGTAATGGTATTTCAGGGAACCTCTTACTCATCAGGGCAAACTATTCTGTACATAACATCAGTGTTCTTCAAGTAATCGTGCAATTCACACATTCATGTGTCCCACAGAAGTGTACCCCCCATACGGAGGTACTATGGCAACTTCCACACGCTGCGTAACGGTTGGCCCTCCTCATACGGCACAAAGCTAAGTCATAAATTCTACACCCCCTCTTACTTAATAATACGAGATTAACTTTGCCAGTCATCCAATGTCATCGTACCAGTCATATTAGGCATATTTAGATATGAGTACTATACATACCTCTGTAGTCTCCCCATAACAGTACTCCAAATCATGAATACTCCTTCAGCAAATATCCTGTTCAAATGGAAGTATTATCCACACGAGAGGATTGTAAACAGGACGATACTCCTTTCACACCATTACTCTTCCAAAAAATCGTACTCCATAAGTAATCTTACTCATAAAGGCAGAATACTTGACAAATCATGCTTTCGTCTGTCTAATAGCACTCCAGGTGATCCTTATAGCTCCACTACTCATACTTTCATAGAACAGTATTATGGGGACTTCCGGACTCCTCACCATTGAGAAAGTAGAGACAATGGTATTCCCTAAACAATAGTTATACTGGAATATCAATGGACTTCACGGGACACTGTTATTCATATAATTAAAGCATAAACCCTGAATTCTTCACATACACTAGTACATGGAAACATTACTCCTCACATAATAGTAGTAGAAATATATTTGACCACATCATCAGCAATGAGAATCCACACCAATATGGTACAAATAATGGTACCCCAAGTACACTTACTCTCTTCAAATACCAATACAAGGACGTTGTATGTACTCTCCACATGTAAATACTACGGACACCTCGGTAGCTCCATATACAGTGACACCGCACGATATTCTTACCTCTTACACCGATGGGTTACTCAAATAAGGGGACTCCAGGCAAAAGGGTACTGCTCAAATAACAGTTCCCCAGGACATCCCTACATCTTATATGGTATTGCATTCAAGATGCTGTTGGACTCTACACAATGGCACTCTCCATTTACTGACGCTTTCCACATTGAATGAACGCTGGTATCTTGGTGCTTTATAAAATAAATGTCTACTAGGCCGTTTGGACTGTTCAGACGATTTAGTAGCCCGTACATTACTTATATAATCCCTGAACGCCCATATAATACTACTGCGGATATAGCTTTATACTTCATGACCATGGACACTTGTTGGATGTCCCACCACCTCACACATTTGTTTTTACTATATAATACAACAGCACCTATATCTTTTAACTTCATCCAATGGTGTCATTCATATAATACTATTCCTGAGACACAAATACACGATAGAAATAATTGTACCCTTTGCATGTTACTATTATCTAAATCATAGTACTTTCGGCACAGTAGTACTCATCTCGACAATGCCACTCTTCGCATACCAATAGTTCGCAAACAAG